ACACAGCCCTACCAAGCTAATTTGTAGTCACTTTTTGAGAGTAGTTTGGCACTCGGAGCTAAATCCTCCTGTTCAAGTAATGACTGTGGAAGGTCTTTGAAGCAGTGGAACTGTCGCAGTCTGCTCCACACAGAGAGAAGCATAGGCCACAGGGAGGCTGTGCAAGGGGTTGCCACACCCTATGGACCCACAGAGGGAGACTTGGGGGCATGGCCAGTGATGCCGTGACAGTAGATCTATTGACTTAAACACTTACAACACAGGCTTTTTGAGTGTGTTACTGATGCTACTTCAGCAGAGGCTTCAGTGGTGGCTCTGGAGCAGCTCCCCAGGTATCCTGTGTCCTGCTTTCAGCATGTGAGGTGGGGAGAAGATTCCAACCCCCCCAATTTCCATCCACGGTGCCCAAACTGAGAACCTCCCATAGGCAGAGACTAGGTTCTCTGGCTATGTGTGAAGACCAGGATCCGTAAAGCAGTGGTTCTTCACCTTTCCAGAGTACTGTACCCCTTTCAGGAGTCTGATTTGTCTTGCGTACCTGCAAGTTTCACTTCACTTAAACTATTTCCTTACAAAATCAGACATAATGTGCTGTGACACTTTTGTATTTTTATTACTGAAAAATTGCTTTCTTTCTCATTTTTACCGTGTAGTTATAAAAGACATCAACTGGAATGTAAATATTGTACTTACATTTCAGTGTATACTATAAAGAGCAGTATTGGTCCTGCTTTGAGCAGGGGGTTGGACTAGATGACCTCCTGAGGTCCCTTCCAACCCTGATATTCTATGATAAGTCATTGTCTGTATGAAATTTGAGTTCGTACTGACTTTGTTAGTGCTTTTTATGTAGCCAGTTGTAAAACTAGGCAAACATGTAGATGGGTTGATGTACCCCTGGAAGACCTCTACGTACCCCCAGGGGTATGCATATCCCTGGCTGAGAAACACTGCTGTAGAGTGTTTTCTAAAATCCTTTCTGATACCATGGCTAAATAGTATGGTAAGTACTAGTGTTCTGGTGGCACCTTAAAGGCTAACAGATTTATTTGGGCATAAGCATTCGTGGATAAAACACCTCTTCACGAAAGCTTATGCCCAAATAAATCTGTTAGTCTTTAAGGTGCCACCAGGCTCCTTGTTGTTTTTGTGGATACAAACTAACGCAGCTACCCCCTGATACTGCTCTAGGGTTGTAATTTAAAAAAATGTAAGTCCAGTACATCATGTGCCTATTGGACTCTCCTACATGGGCTCATACAGCATCTCCCTCCTCTCAACTACCTAGATTTGTGAAGTCACATTTAGACAAACTTAAGCTTGTGTATCAGTCGTTGGGATGGTATCCTGTTTCTACTAAACCATGAAGTGGTTCCCTCATTCAGTCAGCTTGTCAGTTACCCAGGATACATTACAAAGTCTATTCAGCGTTTCTAATGAATCTAAAACACTTTCCAGTCTTCTAGGCCCATCAGATTATTGGTTCTTGTCCATATTCAGCTCAGATTTCTAATGTTGGGCATAAAGTACCTTTTAAATAATCCCATGGCCATTTAGTAATATTTAATAAAGCCCAACCTTTCTCTCTCCAGGGCCACATAAAGAAAATGAATTTCTTCAAAGTGGGGAAATACTTTACGTTGGTGGACATGCCAGGCTATGGCTACCGAGCCCCGCAAGACTTTGCTGACATGGTGGAGGCCTATTTACAAGAGCGTCAGAAGTAAGAGAGCCATTGCATGCTGTCGTGTTTTACCTGCAATCTCACAGTGCATCAGAACAGTGGGATGTTTGCGGAGATTATAAAAAGGTGGAAGAGTTAAGTGTAGATATCAAGAAGGCATTACCAACAATGGGGTAGAATGTATTAGACCACGGTATAGCTTCCAGAGTGAAGTGGTGGCATTACCATTGTTTGAGTTCTGTTTTGAAGCTTGGATGGATCAAAGCACTGGAAAATATTCCCCTTAGGTGCTATCCTGTATTGACTCCTCTCAGGATGAACTAGATAAGACTAATTCTCTTTTCCCATCTCCAAATCCTATGAGGAAGCGTCTCAGTTCTCATGCTAGTTAACGTAGAAACAACCATTGTTGCATTGCCCCTCACTTGTGTTACTATCTGTATCTTTGTTAGCTTGAAGAGGACCTTCTTATTAGTGGACAGCTTGGTAGGATTTCAGAAAGCAGACCACATTGCCATAGAAATGTTGGAGGAGTTTGGGATCCCTTACGTTGTAAGTTATACTTTCTCTTTAAAACACGAACCAAAATAAAAATGTAAATTGGCCGGGCTCAAGGGCATTCTCTAAACATTTTGTACCTTCAGCTAGACGAGCCTCAGCAGTAGAGCTCTAGCAGTGAGTTAAAGGTGATCTGCACAGGGAAAAAAATTGTCCCCCTTCCCCCCCCTCTCCTTTTTCTTTTTCATACTGTATAGGGAGGCCTGAATCTTTTTTTTTTTTTTTTTTTTTTTTTTTTTTTAAAGGTCTGAAGTTTCAAAATTGACCTTATTTTTGGTGCCCAGTTTGACACCCCTTAAAGAGGCCTGATTTTAATAGGCTGGGTGCTCAGCATTCATGTCCTAGTATCCCATTAGATAGGACATGGAGCAGTTTGAAAGCGGTGGGAGGGTGATACATCTTGGCAAACACTTCCAGGTTTACAGTAAAGCAACATTCTTTCCCCCCTGCTCCCTAAATCTTCTCTTTATGGATTTGTGCAGTTTGTGTTAACCAAAATGGACAAAGCTCCCAAGGGACTGTTGGATAAAAATGTACTGGAGATCCAAGACTTCGCAGAGAAACACACTCGGGGTGCTTTCCTCAACTCTTCCCAGTCAGGTAAAGCTCACTTCTACTGATGTCTTAATTTTAAGCACCTGAAAAACACCAAACTCACTGAAAGGTATGACAGTTTGGGAGACCGAACTCCTGTTTATGCCCAGAATAGGTACAATGGGCAGTGTCAGGGCAAGTTACCCTCATGCTGATCCCATCCTATCTGAGGGAGAACCCCCTAAAGAGGTGAGAGGAGAGTTCAGCTTTCAAGGCCCATTCCTCGTTTGGTCTTTCAGATGAGACTGGCAGCAGAGGCACAACATATGATGGTGGGTTTTGTGGTGTGAATGCCTGTCTGAGACTACCGCACTCATTTTAAACAGACCGTGTACGGGCAATAGCTTGGGACCAGGTTTGAAATGGTTGTGGCTTTCTTAGGCATACCAAGGATAGTATGTGCAGTTATGCTGCCCAATACAAATTAAGGCTACTTTGCGCTAAGACTGTATACAAAGTATCCCCTCTGCAGATGGGGGAATGGGCAGAGAGGCTAACATGCAGTTCTACTCTGAAAAAGGGCAAGCTAAAAATGGCATCTTACGTAACGGCTCTGCTGCCTGTGTGTAACTTTAACTTCAATGTTCTTATTCCGGTTAGCCCTGCAGAGCCTGTACAACTGTGGGAGAGGGAGCTGGGTTCTGTTTTGGATCCAGCATTAGCAGAACAGGTAACCAATTTCTGATTTCAGGCCCAGCTCTGGCCTTGGTTACATCTGTACCACCTCACTGAACCGAGCTGCGTGGTACAAATGTAACGGAATGGAATTTGGCATATAGAATCTTGTACGGGGGGTGGATGTGTTGGAAAGAACCCAGCTTGACTCTGTTTCTGGGGTGAGACTGTGGCAATTTAAAAAATCTCTTTGTGTAAATAGAGCAAGGTTGATGTTGAGCGTGTCAAACATGGGACCCCAAAATGCTGCTTTTACAGTGTCAGTTTTCAGAGTAGAACTATGCTAAGGCCTAGAGCCACAAAGTGATGTAGGCTCCTAAGTGACTTGGCCAAGGACACACAGAAAAGTTGTAGCAGAGTTTGAGATAGAACCCAAATATCCATTGCTCTGCATTTGTGCAGTCACTTACATCGGTGCAAAAGGCTACCAAAAATCAGCATGGTGTAATTTTCTACAGCCACTTGGTATGGGTATAAGTGACTACCCAAAGCCTGTGCTTTTAGTATCATATCTCCTCTCCAGGGGTCGCTGCGCCCTTATCTCATATCATATGGGCTCGGAATTTTTTTATTTGATATTGAGCAGTGAGCAATTGTCAATTTGGGGAGATCAGCACTGGATTTTGTAAGATAACGTGTAAAGGAGTACACCAGTTTGTAACTGTCATGATAATGTCCCTTTATAACGAGATCCTGAATTAAGTGACGAGCCACAGCCAAGCTTCCATTGCTGAGCACGTTGTACCTGATAAAAGTTCAAATGTAGCTCCTTTATGGAGAAACAAAAATGAAATCCTAGGACACTGAAGTCAATAGGCCAGAATTTGACCCGTGACATTTAAATTAAGTGGTGTGTGTAACTGGGGAAAATCCTATGTAACATTTTTTCCTTGTTTAAAAAATATCTCAGCAGAGAGCCCTAGTAAAAATATTAAACATCACCTTATTTTGAACATGTCTTGTGAAGTTGTTAAACTTGTACTAAGGGTTGCTGAACTCTAAACCTCAGCTGCAGAGTGTAGCAATTCTGTTATTATTGCAGCAGTAAACTAAATGGAAGAATTAACACCTAATTTCATTGGATAGAAAATGTTTAGGGCACCACTGAGCTGTAATTTCAAACTCTTGTGAAGCTGCATTTTTGCACCAGAAAGACAAGTACTTCCTTCTACACACAAAGCTAAGTGAAGAGAATCTGTGATGTACCATAACATTTTTTGCTGATTCCACTCTGTGATTGTGCAGTGGGTAGAGTTAAAGTTGCTGCAGGAACTATACATTTCCTGATTGTTGTGGGACTAAATTATTGATGTTTTAAAATGTATCAGAAACAATTGGCTGACTTTGAAGTTACCTGTTACTCCAAGGGACGGTGGCAGCTTAGCAGAATTAGGCACCTGCATTTAAAGGAAGCAAGGACCTGAACATGTAAATCTTTGTTTCTACAGTTCCATAGAGTATTCTGGCATCCACCTGCTGAGGTGTTTTATAGCCCATGTTACAGGAAACCTTCCCATGATGAATTCTTGACAGCCACAACTCTCCTGTTGTATTCTACTCATCCAGCACAACAGGTACCAACCATATTGCTCTGGACTTTGCTTTTTGCTTTGTAAATAAGATAAAATAGTGAAATTATTTTGAGGGTTTGTAACAAGTTTCCTTAAATTTTCATTAACAAGTTAAGTGATTCATGCAGCAGAATGTTATCTATGATTTTCTAGATGCATTTATTGGTATTAATTTACTAAATTGACAAAAAAATAAAGGATTTTTAAAGCTTATGTTTTAACAAGCTTCCACTTGTTTCCCTTCCTTGTTATGAAGGTAGCTTTCATTTAAAGCCTGCTTCACAATTAAGGCTTAGATGCTAGAACATAGCGGTATAGCAAGAGAAACGCCAACAGAGTGCATGTGGGCCTGGCTATAGCAACATTCTTTATTCACTGATCAGCTGTGACTGTCAGTCAATTTGTTTTAATACAGATAATATATGAGAATAGGGTCACCCTATGGAATTTGAACTTGTTGATGTATGTGTTCAGTTCTAAATTTTCATGCTTTCTTTAGTGGTGACAAGGAAGTAGCAAGAACACTCTTTCCTGCTGTATTGCTGTAGGGCTTCCTACCTGGAGGTGGAAAGGACCTGTCCTTTAAGAAGTTATGAGAGGATGATGCCTGAAAAGAAAGTCTGGTACATAGGCTGCATGGAGTTATGTGGTACCTCCACTCTATGCCCCAAAAGGAAATTACCCTAATGTAATTGAGCACCAGTGGCTACAAGCTGTGAGGGCTCTCTACTACCCCATCAGTTCCTAGGAGAAAGAGCAGATGAAAAGCTGTGACTTTGTGAATGGTGAGAAGATGATGACTGCTTTGACAGCACTTGTTAATGGAGCACTCTGCTGGAAGAATTAGTACTTACATAGCATCTATTGCCTTAGAGAGCAAGACCTGAGGATTTCAAAGGGGTGGAGGTTACCTCTCCTTTTTGCACTGTGTTCTCTTGCTTAGCACAGACTTCATTGTGGACCTCTCAAGGAACAAACCAAAATTCTAATGTGATGACAACTGACCATAAAGGAGTGAACTTCCATGGCAAATGAGGTACATGCTGCATATCTGGCCCTACCTTGTCCCTCAGTGTCAGCCTCCTATTCTTCAGGGGCACATAACAGATGTGGAATAAACTTCTCACACTAAGTTGCATCTGTCCAGCAATGCCCACTAGATGGCATAGCTGTAGTGTTACTGATGGGTAAGGTTTCCTTCCCAGAAGATCGCCCATTCTTAAGCTCCGTTTACACTGGTGGGGTGTGGAGTACTGACTGTGTTCTCACTTGTCACTGCAGGGGCTAGCTGTATGCCATGGCAACAGGCTTCAAGAGGGGGGAGCAGCTGGAGCCTTTCTCTGGGGCAGGGGAAGGCTTAAGTAGGAGGATGTTACACTGCTAAAAATAGCACTGTAGAGCATGCGCACACACACACAGAGCGCTCTCCAGCCTGGGGGTTCAGGCATGTGCTCTTCACTGAAGCAATGCTGTTAAATACCAATGCTATGTCTGTACTCTACAGGATGAAGTTTAACAAAGACAAATGCAAAGTGCTCCACTTAGGAATTAAAAATCAGTTTCACACATACAGAATGGGAAGAGACTGTCTAGGAAG